CTAGAACTTTGTATTGAAGACAGATAAGCATGGTATCTCTCCAAAGTGTTTCCTATTCCTTATACAATGAATAGAATTAAATTAACCAAGTATTCAGAAAAAACTCCCCAGCACACAGGCCTAGTTGAACCACTCTGCCACTACATAGGCAGAAAACACAGTGGTGAACTTGAGGCCAACAGTAACGGAAAAAAAACCAAAAAAACCAAACAAACAAACAAACAAACAAACAAAAAACAAAAACAAAAAACACAAAAACAAAAACAAAAAAAACAAACAAACAAACAAAAAAAAAAAACCACGAAAAACAGACTTAACTTTGTACCAAATAGAAAAGATAAGCAAAACATCAATTCTGACACTTCACACTTCCTGTCTAGTCCTATGTAGTCCTGCATGTTTATTTAAACTAACCTCTGTGGGACCTAAGCACTTAACAGAATTTGAAGTCAGTGCTGAGTGTCTACTTTTCTACTTTACCAAATCTCAGTCTCCCAAATGTACGCATTTTTTATATATTACCAAGCAGTGCTGAGGAGTTGGGAGGATGCAGGGTACCAGTCATAATATATAGTTTCTCAATTACACAGCAAAGACTAAAGAAAAAGATATCATAGTATTTTGAAAGAATAAATCCCTATTATTAATTACAAGTATGCAGCCAGATTTCCAGACATGCACATCCCAGTGGGTATTAACTGTCATTACTACGTATGATGACTATACACAAACTGTCCCTTGCATGTGTAACTTCCTGAGTCCCAAAGAGCTATCACAGAGCACAGACTTTCACAAACAGTGCAGATATAATTTTTCTATACACACCTACGGTAATTCCTTTTCTAAATGAGAAAACTGCTGTCAAAATGCTATCATGGAAGAAGTGAATAAACATCCTGGATTGAGCACTGATGCCACCTCTGTAACAGGCAGGATCTCAGCAGCTGAGGCCCTTCAGCTGCTTTTTTAATGCACCAAATGTGTAACTATGGCTCTCCAGAGAACGATAGTTCGCTGGATAAAGAAAAGCCAAAACTTACATCAGTTAGAAACCAAAGGTCAACCACAGCATTCGAGACTGGTCCCAGTGGCAGCCCTGTCCTCATTACCAAGGTTGCTCTGATTTCAGAATAATGTAAGCAATAACAGCACAGCTGGAAAATACCTCACACCTCTACAAGAATCACCATTTGTGAATCTTTCAGGAGTTGCCAGAGCAACTGGGGAGAAATTGTGGTGGTTAAATATCATAGGAGGACAAAAGCATACCAAAGCCAGATTTCTAAAGCTCAGTTACACAGCAGTCTTCTCATCATATTTTAACTGATATTTAAGTAACTATATCAAACAATATTAAATGATGAAAATTATGGCATTGTAATAGTTTTTATAACATCTCCACATCTCTGAGTCTTCAGCTTTAACAAATACGCTGTAAGGATTTCTAATGACTGAATTGAGCTCTTGGCTCATGACACACTTAAATGTCAAAAACTTACATGTATAGACTAAGATCAGAACTTAGAGAGCAATGACTGATCCAGAAAAGGGGGGGGGGAAAGGCAAATCTTTTCTAAGCTTGGTAAAATTAATTGCTCTCTGGGAGATACTTATCTCCCTCCCTTGACTAGAGGAGGAGTGTGGATTACCAAATTGCATTAGCAACAAACAATTTAGAAAGCTTAACTTAACTGAGATGAAGCTACTCAAAGTTATTTCACATTAATATGAAAAACAATGTTTTCATGGATAATAAAAAGCTGAAGCAATCTATCCATAACACTATGTCATATAGTAAGAGAGATAATCAAATGTACTCTATAGCCCAATTTGAACATAAATAGTACAGACTCCATCTCCAGGATTCAGCTGGTTTCTAGACAGCACCCATTTTTTTACTAGACAGGGCATAACACGCCATCACTTGCAAGGTATCTAGGAAACATGATGCTGATAGCATCATACATTTTTTCTTCCAAGTATTGTTCAAAAACTCAAGATACACAATAAATAAAATTCTGAAATCTACCCATTACATAATTATTTAATTCTTAGTAAAATATTTAACGTTTTTTGAAAAAGTATGTCTGTGAAATTGTGTTTTTAATTTGATGAAATGAATAATACAGAAGATTAAGTTGGAATCAAATCAATCTTCATAGATTTCATTTTTTCAAGAGTAATTACTACATCCAAAGAGTAATTACTACAGTCATTTCTTTTGTACTTCATCAGTTTGATAACACAGAGAATGTGACTTGCAAGAAAGTACAAATACCATATTAAACAGCATAATGGACTGGACAAATCAAAACACTGTTCCACTTAAAAAAAAAAAAGAGCCAAACACCAGCATAAAACACTTTCATAAAGGAGGATAAAAAAGTAGTGATATGTGAAAGTCAGGAAATTACACTTAGATTCTGGGACTCACACTCTTGATTTGCAAGTGCACATTCTACAAATAAATGTAGACAAATAAGTAATATTATCCTCCAAAATGAGGAGGGAGCTCTGTTTCATTAAAAATTAAAACCAAATGTAAACTGAAGTGAGAACAAAATCAATAGCTCACATCATCAGATGCCTACCAGAAGCTATGGAATACATAATACAGGGATAGAGTAAAAAAATTCAACTGTTCTGCAAAGGTTTTATTCACACACTCGATGAAACCCATATATGTTCCATGTACTTAATTTACTCATTATTTTTGTATTAAAGCAAACACATTGCATTGATATCTATACGAATGCAATAAAGAGCCATTAACTAGCCCTATAAAAAGGATCATGTCTCAGCCTCTTCTACCACTGTAGGCAGCTGATAAATGCCTGCCAAAAATAGATACAGGCAATATCCACAGGCTATTCTCACCAGGATCATGCACGAGTCCATTTCCCAGACTGCTCCATGTCCCATTTTTTAGCTCCCAGGACAAGTGACTGTGCTTTTTGGCCCAAACATGAGCTGTATGTTTGTATTTAAAGCCTATGCATAAATATGGATGTGAAAATCAGGGAAAGGGAAAAACTACTTGTGGTAAAAACAGCAGTGGTAACAAAGAAGATAAGAAACAGACTATGGATTCATTAAATTCCCTTAGATTTATAGCCTTCACAATCCTATAGGGAGGCTTTTCCATAAGTGCACAACTCAAATGGTTGGAACCATTCTACAGACTGAAAGTTGACACCCATCTTGTCTTATCTTAAACAGTTTTCCTCCAAACTGTATTCTTATCATATATTTATAAACAACAATCTTTTCTGCTCTCAGCCACTCTCTTGAGATATTAAATATACCACATCCTTTTATTATCTCCACAAGTCTCCTCAGGCTTCAGTCAGCCTTAATACCACTTGCCATGCAGAGTCTTCTTTGAGTTTGTCTTCCTGAAATGTGTGTTGCCAAAATACTACAAAAATATCCAGGGCCTCGAGAATGACACCAATGCTTCTTCCTTCTTTTCATTAGGACCGTATAAGCCATTTCTACATCCACACGTCACTCCTGACTCACACACAAACCACTGTCATTTCCTTCAATTTGAAGGAGAAAATTCCTATCATTTCCTAAGTGTAGAACTTGCACCTTGTTCCGTTAAACATTATCGCATGACAACTGTCATTCCCAATCATCTCATCCCCCCTGAATGACAGTCCAGCCTCTTCCCCACCTGTTATTGGCAAAGTTTTGTGGTGTTCTTTTGTTACTCCTCACTTCTACTTTTGAATTTGGGTAACTGGGAAATATTTTTGTATTTTGACACTTGTACTGCATACTAGCAGGCTCTGGTGCTTCAGAAGTAAACCTTTTTTAGCACCATCGCACTAAGACTGCCTTCTATTCCACAAAACCAAGCACAAAGAGCTGGGACATTTTCACTGCACTGTTGTCTATCAAAACACAGTTTATCCATAACACGATGCAGAAGTATTCCATATCCTTTTATTGCCAGGATTCATTTAATGTAGTTATTCAATTAATCTAAATGAGAGATCTATATCCCCCAGGATTTTCCTCCCACTCAGCAAGACTGCTCATGCTAGACTGTGGGTAGGGTATTTCTCCATGTGAAACAGGCAAATACTGATGCAGTTATTCTGATCAAACCATTAATGTAGTCTCAAAGACAGGAAACTTTTAATATATACTCTGATGGGAAATGCTTCGGAAGAGGCAGGAAGGGGGGGGGGGACAACTTGTCAGAAGAATATATCCAGCAAAAATCCACACGACTCAGCTATCACAGCCCCAACCTGTGTGTATTAATCTGCCACAATCCATCTCCCAAGAGGCTGTTTCTCGACACTCTGCTTCCGTGGTGTGAACTTTCTGTGTTTCCAAATTGCTTTTCAGCTTGTGGTAACTCTCCCTTTCACAGTTGCCTGAGCATCACCATTTGACTACCCCAATCTTTCAGAGCTCCAACTACCTTGGCTTCTCCACTCCCTGATTTTTGATTCAGACTCATTGTGGAGGCAGTGTATTTTCCAAAGCATCATCAACTCCAGACCTTTTTAGGAACCTCAAGTGTTACTCTTGTGGGGAAATGTTTTGGTTTTCGGGGAGGGGTTGGTCGTTTTTTGTTTGTTTGAGGGTTGTTTTTACTTATGTTTAATTCCAGCAACACATTTTATTAGTCCTATGTAGATATTATCTATGAAAAATATGTAAACACTCAGAGGTAATAACGCTAGGGCCTGTGTTCAACTCACTTTTGTAATACCAAAATGCACCAACCCTTGTAATTCATTTAGCAATATATTTGCTATTCGTAATATAAAATAGTATTAGGCACATATTTTAAAATTGATCATTTTAGCTACTATGCTTTGCCCCACAAACCAAAAACTTTAGACAATTATGGAACAAAAGCCTGTATAATTTATAAGTAACTTGAAGGTGTTTGAGATCAAAAATTCATATTATCTGGACTTGAAAGAAACATTGTGGTATTTAGAACTCAAATGAGAAAAATACAATACAATACATACCTATATCATATGCAAGAAAGTCAGCAGAAAAACACTTTGCACCATTGCTCAGTGAAGTATCATTATGAGTGTTTCCACCGAAAATGAGCATAGCTCCATTGATTAAGACAGCTGAATGAAGGTATCTTGCAAAACCACTCTCTTTCAAAATAGTCCTACAAAATATAAGAACAAATTAATACATATTAACATGTGAAAAATTGTACATGAACATCAAGAAAATTTATAGATAAAAAATACAAAACACAAGGAAAATACCGAACTAAAGCTATTGTTCAGTAAACATGATGAAATTTATTCATAGTGTTTCTAGGATTGTGAATTTTCTCATGGTACAACAAATATATTTATCATTCATTTAAAATGTCCTGCTTTTTTAATTAAAAAACAGGTTTTTGAATAATGTGTCTGAAATAAATTTTATCATGTTTACATTCTTCAGACATGATTAATGATATGGTAAACTTTAGTAAAAAGTGAATGAAAGCTCATTCATATTATTAATTCCTACTCGTATATACCCTTGGTCATGTTGTTCTTTTGCCCAAGAACTGCAATAAAGAATTCTTTAAAAGGCTAAAAGAATCTTTAGACTATCCTAAGCATAGTAAAAGGATAAACTTTTTTTTATTTATTTGAACACTCAGACCTGGAAAAGAAATGGTAGAAGTCATTCTAGGTATGATAAAAAACACTTGCACTGCTTCACAAACTTATTCAGGGTGGTAAACTCAAACATACAAAATTTCTGCACTGAAAAAAAAGTAGTCCACACACATTGAGCCTTTGATGTCTCTTCATTCACTTTAGCCTGCGTCTGTGTGGTCTGCTTTGTGCCACAGCAATAACATGGACCCAACAGTAGCCAAGAGCTATCAATGCTACAGTTTAAAAGTGGCAGATGTGGGGTTAGTAGAAAGAACAGAACATAAACTTGATTCAATCACAGCAAATAAATCTTACCAAGGAAGAAAGTAACCATTTGTGGGTTTTGCCAGTTAAGAAAACCAGCTGCAGACATGTTTGTGAAGAACTGATTAGATCACCAGTACAAAATATTTTTTACATTCTCCTAATAACGTTTCACTTGTCTCAATAATCTAAGATTTCAAGTTTAGACTCTCACTTTCATTTATGCTACTGCACACTGTTCACATCTACAATTAAACTGTTTTGTCATTTGTTTCCTGTAACAAACTGACTCAACACTCTTTCCTTCTGATTAAATAATGCTGTCCTCTTGAATCACATCCATAATATTTTTTCAATATTTTTACATCATCGTCATGTTTAGGAGAGAGTGTTTAAAGTACATCTCATTGTTTTGATATAATACATAAATCGATTAATAAGCTTGAAATATTTCTAAGTGATAAAAGATTGTATGTTTGAACAAGTTGAAAAGAAGGCATTAAACCTAAATTCTCATAATGTTATTTAAATAAATTCCCCCCCCCTAGCTCTGGAAAGTATCATCAAAAGAAATGTCAAAGACTAAATGAAAATAAATGAGCTTTCTTATTGCTTAAAATGTGTCAATTCCTTCAAGCCACTAGCATATCCACCCATGTGCTTCTGGTTTCAGTCCTTCTTATTTTTGTTCTACTGAACAACTTGCATCTTTCTTGTGTATCTCTGATTAACATACTTTGAAAACAGAGCACCCCATAAGTGTGTTTTTCTAACCAGGAAGTAGCTTGATAGAGAATACTTATGGTACCTACCCAAATATGTGATATTTGGGTTCTACTCATCAGTTAGCAACATAGAATATTTGGAATTACAAGGAAATAGAACAAGATATTATTTTTAAGTTACTTTCTACTGGTAATGGAGGAATACTGCTGCTACGACTTGAAAGAATTATAATATACTAAGAAAATGTTACCTTATCCATTCAGATTAAGAATTCCTTTCTGTCTTGTGCTTTACCAGTTTTTTACAAGCCCTACTGACTAATTTACACTAATTGCTATACACTAGGCTCTGCCTTGATTATCCTGCCTTGCAGCTGTCTACAAATAGTTGTTTTGATCACTAAAGGTCTAAAGAGACATAGACTGTTCTGGGGAAAACTGAAGACTCTCCTCCCTGCACTGCATATATCACCAATCTCCATAGGATTTTTTGAGGGCTACTTGCTTTTCTATGTGTGACCCAACTACATTGCCCCAGTCCTGATCCCTACATTGCATAAGGTGTGTGTGGGGCAGGATGTCTCCTAATTTTTGCATATTGTATGCTAAGTTTCATCCCTCTTGGTAACAGCAACTTTTCCTCCAGAATCAGCAGAACTAGAAGTTTGTTAATTTGGCCATGATTTTCACTATTCATTAGCATCACTAATGAAGGCAATCTTGAGAACTCTCCAACACCTATCAGCCTCATGCAAATTCTGCGAGGTCTCAGCAGGCTGAGTTCATTATTTATGCACATCTACGTGTATCTGCAAACATCAGTCCACATTAACTGTGCCAGTGCCAAGCGTTGCACACACCAGCATGATTCCATAATGGTAATGGAAACACCCAGGAGCCAGCAGGTGCTTCCACTGTTTCAGGCCATTATCTAAGTCCACGTTGTCCCCCAATTGCCAGCTGCAGCAGCAGGCAAGTAATGCAAAGCAATGAAGGTATTAGAAACACTGTAATTCCCCATCATGTATTAGAAACACAATTCACACTCGGAATTAAAATATTGCCACCTTGCATTCCAAGAAACATAAAGCTTGTTTAACTGATATTAAGAAATGGAAACCTATGTGCCACTGAATAAAACAAGAAAACAGCTCTGTATAACAAAACTTAGTGAAGCAAATGAACCTCTGCCAGAGAACAGAATGAGTGCAAGAGAAAAACAGTGAGGACAAGCAAATGCAAGTTTGAGAAATTCCACGTACATGGACACGAGAATGCCTTAGTTCCAACTCTTCTCATACTGCACCTCCCCAGTGGCACATTCAGTCTCAGTTACCTCTCTGAGGGCTTTGAATACTGATTATAAGATGTCACAGATACAGTAAACAAAGGCTTAAAGATTTTATTACTATGTATTATTACCCCATCCTCGAGTCAGTTTTCCATCCCATAGTACAATTCACTTCCAGTGTAATGCTCAGGAAACTAATAAAAGACTGAAGTTCTCTACAAGCTGCAGAGAATGTCACATTAGGACAGAGTAGATCGAAACATTCGTTATTAGTTCTTATACAAATAATGTATAAAAATATTCCAATTATTATTATTATATTGTTGAACAGACCATCAAAGGCTACAACATCACTTTGTTCCAAAAATAGAGTTTAAGAAAGCATTAAAATTCCAGTGATTTAAAAATACATTAAAAGGCACAAAAAATTCTTGTAATAATGTTTCCATGTGCCATGAGTTAATGACATTCAAAATCAAGAGCCTCAGTGAAATCAAACCCACATGTTTCCAACATCTGAGAGCAAGCCTTGTGTGCTTAAAGTTAAGCCATTAGTGCTCAACACAAATATTAAATCGCAAGGCAAAAAATGTTCTGAGAAACCGCTCTTGATCCCAAATGTCCTCTAGGGTAAGAAAAAACATTTAAGGTCCCTTTCTATACAAAACATATAAGCAGCCTTCATAAGTTACAATAAACTTGAGGGACAAGGAACTGATAAAAATAGAAGCATCAAGAACATTAATAACTAAGGATTCCTACACAATACTGGAAGTTCTTTCTCTTATTTCTGGTAGTTTTGTGAAAAATAACCTTCCACACTTCTTAAGGTTTTCCACTGACTTATATAACAGCTGTACATTAGCAGTTTATTCATATCATAAGAAAACAGTACTCGTGTAGTGTTTCTGCTTAGTGGTTATGTTTGGATAGGAGAACCTTTTCTCACTTTGTAGAACATGCACAAAGCTTCCTCCCTGCCATTCTTTCAATGTATTGCTCCATTAATCCATTGACTAAAGTCTAGTCCCTTACCACAATTCTTCCACTTTGTTGCAGAGTATGTGTTGTTCAGCAACACGCAAAGGATATGGAGGCACCTACATGACTTTACTAGAACCTTACCCTACCCTACTCTATGACTGTGTTTTCCTTTCAGTAACCTATAACTTAAGTTTCCTATATTATAAATCCAACTTACCATGTCCGTGTATTAACTTCATATCTGTAAAGGTCATCCACCAATCCATATTTATTGCCAGGTAACGCTTTGTATCCACCATGGACATAAATAGATTTAGTCAGTTCATCATAGACACTTGTATGGCCGTATCCACCTTGCACAATTGCTCCTTTTGTTTCTGGTACAAGCCAAGAATTAGACCCTGAAACAGATAGACAAAAACCACAGGTTTAAGGTTTACTACTGCTAACACACAGTACTGGGAGTTTTAAGTACATAAAGTCATTTCCACTATAATTCTAAAATACAGTCATAACTAGGGACTTGTTTTAAGAAGTAATTTTATACCAGTGTATCAAAATATCTGCAACTGGATAATGCTGTTAATGACTATTATCTGCTATTCTTAATTAAACCACAAATACATTGTTGTTACAGCTGCCAGGCAGTATCTCATACTCTCTCACATGCGACTTCAGCATTCACACAAAACAAACAAAAAGCCTGAATTTTTCTGAAAATATGAAATTAGGAGTTATGATTAATTCTCACCAGAGATGGCTGATGAGAATTCAGTGCTCCAGCTACTTCAGATGCATTCGGAACACCTGTGCTCAGTCATGGGGAATCTGGAGAAGCCTGACAGGCACTGAACTGCTGTGAGCCATGAGAAGCACGTAACATAAGGTAGCTCCAAGTATGCATGGGGGTAGGCAAACAATTTGGTAGTAACTACAAAGTTATTGAGCTAAAATCCAGTTCCCAAATACTGTTTCTTAGTTATTTAACTGCAAATATACCTATTCAGTTGCTGATAACTCACAGAATAATCTGATAGCAGCTCATTAAACTGGCATTTAAATCCACATTTTACATTACATCTCTAATAACTGCAAAGAGACACCAAATAAACCCATACACGATAGTTATTATGACTGAAGAATAAAACACAATTGGAAAATATTTTACCCTAGCAAAAAAAAAGACAGAGATGTTAAGTAAGTTCTTGCTGCCTGTAGCCCAGAAATGTCCTTTTTTCCCCCCTTCATCTTCCCAGATGACAACATAAGTCACAAAAACAGCAAGCCAGGAAGTATTCCCTGTAGAAGGCAGCCTATACAAAAGAGTCTATGATCATTAGGAGCAAGTTCCATGGATGTGAAATGGAAGAAATAATTCACTTACAGCCTTTTAAGATTGTGTCAGAAGAACAGCAAGTATGGACAAGGACATCCAAAATTGAGCAGTCTCCTAACTCAGCCTATATTGGCCACCATTATAAAGTTATTTATCCAAGGCTAGCACACAACACCATACACCTTGCTGCATCTGAAAGTTAGTTTTCCATTTCAATTTCTATCTGATATTATGTAAGTAGCTTACATTAACTCTTTTTCCTCTGGATTCTTCTGTTCAGTGAAGAGACTCATGTTTTTCAGTTATTACTGATGCTACCGTCCTTTCATTAAACGATTTCCAGGCGCTGCCTCCATAAGTTACATTTTTTTCAGTAACAAGTGCTTATAGAAAGTTATAAATTATAGATTATATGGAAGAATTGTGCTGATTTTTGTGTGTATGAATGCTGATATTTGTGTAATACACTATTTATATCTGACACAGTATATTTATGTGTAGTGTAATGTAACTAGTATTTTATTCCAATCTCTGAACTGGGTATTATCATCCTATTAAGAAGCGCAACCCTGAACACAAATATTAAATTGGTACCAATAAGACTGTATTTTACATACATATTACTTTGATAACAAAGAAATTTATTTGATACAATTTATGTAAGAGGGTTGGTGAGGAGTCAACCTGCAGATACACCATCTATTACCAACACCATCTCAATGTATTTATTTAAATAATCATCAGTCCTAAAGATTGGCATATATGCTTTTCAGGAAAAAGAACTATTTCCCCACATAAATTTACACAATGGTGTTGATAATATGCATAATAAAATATTTTGCATTTATATCTGACTGTTTTGTACATTTATGTAGCATTATAGTTTATGTAGCAATGGTCAGGCTTGATGATATTAGAGGTCTTTTCCATCCTAAATGAGTCTATGATTCTATGTAGCATTTAGAACACTACGACAGTAATATTCACATTGCATGACTTTATATGACTTGCACAGAAATATGAAGAGCTGTTCCTTCTTGCAAAATAAAAACTACCTAAGTTTGAGAGAAGAGGTTCAGCATCATCTCTCTGAAATAAAAGTTAAAACCAGTATTACAGTTTCTCCCTCAATTTCCCATTCTAAAATTTAGTTGAGTTGCCTGAATTTCAAATGCTGAAATGTGTACCTACAGTTTTGATCTTTCACACTTCTTCAGCATCTTGAAAATTGCATCATTCAGACAAAAATACACTTCTGTCTCTATTTAAAGACATTACTATGCATATGATCTCTTTTTTTATGAAACTTATTGATATGAATCTTCACCTTATTTTCTAAACAAAAATTCAATTTTTATTGAAAGCATTTACATAACCCTTATCATACTCAAAGACATCCCACTCTTTCTATCATTACACCATAAGAAGTACTTGATTGATCAAATCAGTCATGTGAAACTGCGATTTCAACAGTTTAAAAAGTCAACCACAGAAAGACCTCCATGAATGAATAAGCCAGAAATAAGGAAAGAGGAGACCACATAGGACTCCATTATTTTTTTCTTTCCAGATTTAAATTTTAAGTCTAAGGGTGTAAAAATAAGGTCAAATTAATTTTGAAAATAATCATAAAAATAATATGGGTATGCAGAAGTACTACATAATAGAATGCAAGCCTCTCCTTTTCATTTGTAATTTGACATTTTTCATCAATATCTGAGCAATTTTCCAGAGAATTCTACCACATAAAGTTTCTATTTAAGTGCTTAGGAAAATCACTATGATAACTTCAGATAATTAGATCTCAGATACCAAACCACTAGACAAGAGTTACAGGCTACAATATTCTGGTCACTTTGTCCAACAGAATCCCAAACTTCAAGTCCAGTTTTAACATGACCCTTTCCAGAAGACTGACCAACTGACAGAAAAAGAGAAAACAGGCATCTACAAAAACATGTAAACAGAAAAAGGAAGTGCAGCTCTGAGAGAGAAGGTAAACTCATTGATTGAATGAACTGAAGCTGGGGGTAAGACACTGTTCCAAAATTCTGACAGACACAGTAAGTGAAACTCCTGACCCAGTAGCAAACATTCTTAACAAAGCTGGTTAGATATTGCCAAAGAATGGCAATCATAGTGCTGACAGTGAAGACTAGAGGGAGGAGAGGCAAGATCTAAACTATTACAGACCTTAATCTCACCTCGATAATACACAAAGGTTTAGAACAAAGAGTTTGATTTTGTTCTGCTTTTTAAAAGGATAAATAAAAAATGTTGAAATAGTGGGAAACTGTTTCACTGGACAGTGTAAAGGTGCCAAACCATTTACACCACCTTTAGCTAAAAAAATTACCAAGAGAAGGAAGGGTAGGTGTTCTCTGTGTCTGGGATTTGGTCACTGAAAAACAAACAGTAATGAACTACGTTGGGAGGTGCTGAGACTTAGCACCAGGCAGACTTCTTAAGGAACAGAATTGGTGCATTGTATGACACTGACAGAAATTTAAGGAGCACTAACTGCATAAATTTAGACTCTACTGATACACAGAAGTAGCAGAAAAACATGCAGAATGAACTGTAAGATCTTGGCTACCAGAAAAAGAAGGATCAAAATTCCACAATATCTTAAAAGTATTACACACTGGGATTAGCAACATGAACTTCTATAAATTGGAAGCTCATCAACTGATAATGACCGACAAGAATAAGTAGGAGCACTGCTTCATCAGAGAAAGTCTATGAGCCAGTAATGACTTTCTCAAGGATGCAGTACAAATGTCATTTTACTATATACCAACTAAGGTATTCCTAATAATGTAGAATTAGGCACTAGACAAATCTCACCTAGAATATCTCACAGGTTTTTCTAATCATCCATGTTGAAGAGAGATGAACTCCTTGTGGAAAAGGTACAGAGAACTATTAGAATGACAGTGGAATAGATGAGGTTGCCTTAATTAGACTTGCAGAAGGGAGGATTTGTATCTATAAATATAATTCAAAGACAATTCCAGGGAGATGAGCTGCTTACATTAAACAAGTGAATATAAAACAGGCCACTGATACAGGTGGGCTATGAATTAGAATATGCCTAGTCACTAAAATTATAACCAATTTTCCAATGACATTGTGCTTGCAAGAAGTTAATCACATCCAAAGGTGTAACACCATTCTATCATCAAAGAATGCAAAACAAATGAAATAAGAAATAAAAGCTTTTTTTTTCCCCAATTCATTTCTTTGTATGAAACAGTTTAGGATTGCCAAATCAAGGAAGCTCCAAATTTGAGCAATAGTAATTTTGTAATTTAAAACAGAAACACTGAAATCACATTTTGAGATAAAGTTGTTTCTAAAAAAAAAAGGTTGAAAAAATTATATGCAGTAATAAACCCTTTAAAAATCCAAGGAAAGGTAGATACACTGGCCTGATCTCTCCTTACCACAATACAATCTTCAAATAGATCAGGTAAAAAGCACAAAATATCCAAGAAGCACCGTAGTGTGCCATCTTCATTTCATTGCATTGACAAATTTTAAATTTTTTCAAGCAACCATGAAATTTAAGCTAACTTACAAAAAAAGGACACGTTACATCACAGGGCCAGTTTTTTTACATTATTTCAAATAAACACTTATAATCCAAAGCAGTCTATAATCTACTTCTGAAGTCATAAAAAAAATCAGTCTAAAAAACAAAATGATATTCTGCTAATCCAAAGAAATCTCTGTCTTGTAAAGAAACAAAATAAAATCACAGAAGACTTATTCAGAAGTTTCTTACTATATAAGGAGCTTTTATAAATCTCTGCTAAAGCAAAGCACTGTTGTTCTATTCACCTTGAGACTCACATTGAGACTCTTAGAAGGTTTATGAGGTATTGCAAACCTAAAGGGAAATAAATTCTCCTGGGGAGTAACCCGGAAAAGCTTTATGGTTCAAGTTAGTAAAATCATTCACATAATTGCCATACCAGGATTTATTGGTTTCTCGAAAATCATAAGTCCAGGTATAGCAAAAAAGGACAATAGGAAGCCCTTTTGTTCCTGCAGCATCCACCATACATTCAGAGCAGAAACAAATTCATGTCCTTTTGCATGGTGAAAATCTGACTACAAACCATGTCCAATTTACTCCAGAATTTACTTCACTTTGATAGGAATTACTTTCTTTCCTGATCAGACAATGTCAATTTTCAGACCATGTACACCTTCGATTGACACGTTTTGTTAACAAGAACAACGTACCTACATGAGAAGCCTGGGAATCTACAAACACTTTGCAACTTCTTTAGATGTTTCTTAACCCAGACTCCATGAAAGTCAGTCACAGTAACTAAAGTAGGCTTTAGCACTAGAATTCCACGTAAATTCCATGTATCAAGTTCACCAAAAGAACTGGATCACTAGAGGTTTTAGTTCCTACGAACCAAAAGCTAAGCCGCCTCTTTCTGTGCCACTTTTTCTTTCAGTAGGCATTTGGTAAATGCTTGACAATAGCCTTCATTAGGACTAAAAGCCACAACTGATAACATTTAGAAAGAACAGAGCACTACAATTTGAAATTTAAGGTATCATATGTTTTTAAAGCAAGCAGAGAGAGAGAACATTGGGTTCTTATTTTTCTTTCGATAACGTCACAAGCCCTTATTTATATCATTTTTTTTTCCTATTCAGGTGAGTTCACAGCAATACTTCTATCACTTCTTATGTCTTAAGTTTGGACTCAGAACTGCTGAAGTCTCCCCAGAAAATAGTCAGTCTTGGTTCAAAACCATCATCTGGAATTTTATGGTTAAAAATATTCCTACACCTGCAAAACTGTAGATAAATGCTACAGACAATACAGAATTCAGGAAAATTTACCAAAATATTCATTTAACTTAGACAGGAGGGAAAGGAGGAAGATGCAATGAGGTAAAATGAAACATGAGAATTATCCACAGCAGAAGTGGTTCAGTTACAGCACACAGACCATGATCTGCAAAGCCCTGCATGCCCCAATAATCAATCCTTCATCAGATGAGTAGATTCACTGAAATCAATGGGTTTCCACATTAATACCCTATATTGTTACAAGTTCCCTTTATATTTGATGTAAGTGAATCACATTAACTAACTAAATTTCTCACTAGTATATGGTGAAAACAATCTCAAAAAGGAGACACAAAAATTTGAGAATAACTGAGAATCATAATAACAGAGAGAAGTGCTTTCTCTTACTCAAAGCTTGTCATCACGGTAGGAAAGGTTTGGGGGGTTATTCTTTGTGTTATATATGCTTAGTTATTGTCTGTTTTATTAATCCTCCACAAACAGAGTTGTAACATTAAAAAAAATTAAAATAGGAACAAGTTGTCCATTTCAACCATAAGGCCATCAATAAAATCACCCAGGCAGAAAACTTTATACTACAAATCATGTTCCCTTCTTCATAGTTAAACTAACCACAGTAATAAATGAGAATAAAATTGGTACTTCTACTCCATACTAAATAAGCAGCAGTTGAAGAAGCAAATAATTTTAAGTTCCAACAGACATTACAGTGTATAAGCTTGCAGAAAACTAGAACAACACGTTGTTCTCTTCAAGAGGAAAAAAAAAATCATCTTTGGTAGGTTAAAAAACCAACTCTCTGAAATTAAGGTTTTCCAAAAAATGGTCTTTAATGGTCTTTTAATGGTTTTTAGTTTCAAAAAATTGTCTTTAAAATCTTAGAATACTGTTGAGAACATCATTCTAAGACCAGAGTTTTATAGTAGTTTTTATGCAGTTAAATCAAAATTTTTCAGTGTGGATAAAGCACATCATGGTGCTCTTCCTCTTATTACCATTCACTTTTATAATTTTTCAACATTGTTATAAAATTTCAACACTGCGATCAGAAATAATGCCAGGGAGAATAAGAACCTTATCAGTTCTGAAGGGACTTTGCCAACCTATAAATCTGCTTAAGCAGTGTCTATATACATATGCATACATGAAAAAAAGTTAAATGAAACAACTATATTTTAAAGCATTATAATTGTTTTTAAGTATTACTCTGAAATTCTGTATTATGCATTCTGTGATCGTATAAATAACTGAAGGACTCAGATTAATTCAATAGAAAAAAGGAATCAAAAAAAGTAGGAGAGGATTATAATTTGAATTAGTGGGTATATAAATATTCCTAAAAACTTTTCAGGTGTAGAATAACTTTTCAAGTTATTCCATTGAAATAATACATTAGATGTATCATATATATGATAAAAAGATTTCTCTTGGTTTATTTAATTCTAGCATTTAAAATCACCCCGAGGAACAGCTTGTGGTTTGCAGAAAACTAGTGTTCCTTTGCAATTATTTCCTCTAACAGCAATGTGTATAAACTTTGGAGAGTACCCTTTATACAATGATGAACTAAGTTGTGATATTTAAAAAAAAAATCAGAATGAAAATAGAGCAACCTTAAAGAGCCTCCAAAATAACTACATTATTGTTGGTTTTGCTCTTCTACTCTAGGGTAAAAACAGTAAGTCTGTGTTTAAAAAGATCACAAAAATAACCACTGCATGGAATTTCTGGTTTCAATTTTTATCCCCTTTGGAGTACCATGACCGTGTACACAATAATACATAGAAAAAGTCATGGTGCTCCAAACATGTATGAAATGCTACTGCTGAACAAGAAATCTCTTCTATATGATTTGAAGGAAAAAAAGATGAGGTTTTATTTATTTTGCAAAATACATACTTTTCTTTCTGAAAATAGGAGTGATATTGACTTGAAAAATAGTACTTTTTTATCAGTATATGATAAAAATTATTTGACTTACTGATGTAGTATTCTTGCACAATGCTTGTGTAACCATATATGGAAGAATATCCAAAAATTATAATCATAACCACATCTCTGCTGTCCAGCTCTACTATGTGTGCTGAATGACCTTCCACAGCATATTGCTGGCCATGTACAAGTACTGCAGGAGTTCTGGAGCTCCATGTTTGACTGTGTATGTTGAAAATCCACAGTTCATCAGTAACATTGCCATTATTTGTTTCAATTTTGCCTCCATACATGTAGATGTCTTCCTGTAAAAATTGGAAGGGAGAGAGGAGAAAGCACATAATGGATTACAGAAAGATAACATCTGAACTGCATACTCCTGTGCTGTGCAATATTTCATAACTGAGCTATCTGATTTAAATCTTCACATTTAATCTTACATTAACCAGCTCGATATCAGACACTAATCCCAAACAATGATATTTAAACTAAGCCAACAATGATAAGGAGTCCATTTCTCTGAAAAATAAACCCAGCCATGAAAATGACACCAAAATGAATCTCAAACAGATTACTTCAACCAGAAAACCTTTAATTACATGCCTCTTCTAATTCAAACTGCAGCACTCTATTTTGAAAAAAGTTAAACAGAAAGGTTATTATATTGTTTTCTTAAGGAACCATTCATAGAATTAAAATGTGATTTTCCACACACTCAGTCTGTAGGGATTTCCATCAGCACATTCTCTCTCAACAGCAAAGTAACTTAAGTTCTGAGAAAACTCACAGTCATCAGAACCCAAAGAAAAGGGACAATGTGTGTATGGAATCATAGAATGGTCTGGGTTGCAAGGGGCCTTAAAGATCACCTCATTATAACCTCCCTGCCATGGGCAGGGACATCTTCCGCAAGCCCCGTCCAACCTGGTCTTGAACACTTCCAGGGATGGGGCATCCACAGCTTCTCTGGGCAACCTGTGCCAGGGCCTCACCACCCTCACAGGGAAGAATTTCTTACTAATATCTAAACAAAACCTGCCCTCAGATCAGTTTGAAGCTATTCCCCTTTGTCCTGTTACTCCATGCCCTTGTCAAAGTTCCCTCTCCGGCTTTCTTGGAGCCCTTTTAGGTAGAGGAAGGTGCTATAAGGTCTCCCCAGAGCCTTCTCTTCTCCAAGTCGACAGCCCCAACTCTCTCAGCCTGTCCTCTTGGAGAGGTGCTCCAGACCTCTGATCCCCTCAGTGGCCCTCTGGATTCACTCCAACAGGATCATGTGCTTCTTATGTTGGGGGCCCCAGAGTTGGACACAGTGCTCCAAGTGGGTCTCACAAGAGAGGAGTAGAGGGGCCGAATCACATTCCTCAACCTGCTGGTCAGGCTGCTTTTGATGCAGCCCAGGATGCAGTTGGCACTCCTCTTGAACACATTTGCTAAAATCAAATCCCAGAGGGGAGTTACTTTGAGTTCTTTTTAAGGGATGCAAAACAGCTTTTCCAGCCATCGTGAACCATGTACCTCAAACAGCAATGCCATCTGTTCTGATAAGTAATGAATGATTTACTTAAATATTGACTTTTCAGTCAAATCCTACTAAATGTCACTTCATCTAGAGTTACAAACCAAGGTATCCAAAGTCACAGAGCAAATTCTAGCATATTGGCTTCACAGACTTGCTCAAGGAGAGTTTATAATGCGCAGAAAAAAAAACTGCCTCTGGTTCTAAGAATGATCCTTAGTCTTTGCTAGAACATAGCAGAACCAAATCCCATTTGCATGGTGTTTGTACAGTTGGCAGTTGTCTTCTGCATACTACCATATAGTTTACATTAAATTCAGTCTTACCAGGTTTAAATTAAAAAAATTAATCTTTTTTTTTTTTAAAAAAGGAAGCTGCAAGTTTAGCACATCTGGTTTGGCATGAAATATTGAGCCTCAGATAAAGAGGTCGAAAGATAAAGAAACTACCTAAGAAATTTGTATCAATCATGTAGAAATTTCAGATTTATGGTACAATGAACTGATGATAGGATCTAAAAAGAAATGTAAACTGCATATTATTATCATCACGCACATCACGAAAGATGAACTCTTGACTGTTGATGAACAGGCAGGCATGTCAAATATAGGTATCAGTAGAAGATAGTTTATTTAGTCCAGCAAAACAAAGGCTTGAGAGGGTTATAATGTTGTTCCATATGCCTGTGGTTGATGGCAAGTAACGGAGTCCAGAATAGTAAGAAAAGCTTCCTCGTAACTCAGAAAGAGTAGTCAGCAAATGACTGACCAAACTGTCTGATTGTCAAGAGTACACTTGAAATTTATGCAACATTTTGAACTTTTTTTTTTATTTGAGGCAGGTGAACATTTCTCTATTTAGAATTTAAATCGTTCCTATACAGGGGTACTCTGTGCTATCAATTAGTTTGGACTGGTGGTGTTTGAACAAAAGATGTTCACATCCTTCAGTAGGAATTTGTAGTAGAATTAGAAAGATATATATCTGAACCCATTCCTTTCCTGTGAGATAAAACATTTCAAAGAGCTTGGCAAAGACCCACAAAAGCTGAAGGAGGTTGTGCACTGATCCAAAGGAATGGCTTGAACAAATATTCTTCTGAAAGGATCCTCTATGGCTCATTCATTACACTTCCACATAGATCTCAAAAGTCAAATCAGCATTACTAAAATAATAGACTACTTATTTTTAAATGGAGATAACTAACTACAGCCAAAAGAGGGAGCTAATTAAGGAGTTCCTGGTACTGTATGATAGTATTTGAAAAAAAAAAGTATTTCTGACACTGAGGAAAGACACAAAAAAAAAAAAGAAAAGGTGATCTAAAGAGCTGCAAAAACTTTGAAACAATTACTCGGACTGCTGACAATAAGAAACTCCTCCTCATAGTTCTGCTTAAACAATTCAAAGTTCAGATAAAAGAACACTTCTGTGAGGAGAATCTTTGTAAGTCAGACAGCAGGTCCCATACACAGCATTCTTCACAGTGAAAGAGACAACTGCTTTATCAACCACAAAAACATTTAACTAAGCTTTGCTAAAGGCTATTTATGAAATTAAGAAGCTCTTAATGCTGCGGAAAAACACTTTAAAAGTTAGTGATGATCAGCTGAACATTAAAAAAATAGACTGAGGGATTGAAGTCAGTAGAAGAAATACTGAAGTAAAATTAAAAAATGCTACAAGCATAGGCAGGATAAGACCCAATATCACAGGCACATAAAGACAGGTGTTTATTTGGAAAGCATAATCAAGAAGGAACGGTAGAAAGAATACAAGTGTAAATGGTCCTAAGCGGCCTAAAGATTGTGGTAGAAAAGAAATTCCCTTATAAACTTACACTATCTTTATAAATTACATAAAAACTAGGTATAAATCAAGGTATACAATAAAGATGAGGCTTTCAGGAAGATACAATTCACAAGATACAGAGTTTAAAGAGTGCTAGTACACAAACACTCCTGACCTTTAAATTAATTAAGTGCAGTAGACATTTGTTTATATTAAAATACCACATCACAACAGGACTACAAAGTAAAATAAAAGCAACAACAAAAATAGAATTGAGAGTCTTTGCGAAATTAGTGCAGGAGAAGTGTGAGGAATCTGGCCCAGAGGAAAGGTCTTAAAAATTGTACTCCTCAGCCTGGAGGAGAGAGAAGATCAAAAGGCAGACTTGGCCAAGGAAGAGATAACAAAACACTAGGCAGATAAGCACCAAGAAGATACAAGGCCTCCAACACATTCATATTTTAAATTTTTGACACCACGTGTCAGAAGCAACACCTTCAATCACAGTGGCAGATAGTAAAGTTTAGCATTTACTCAATAAATTAACCTTGGTCACTTTAGACATATTACTTCACATAAATAAAATTACCTAAGAAATGACAAAAACCTTTAAAGACAATGTGGGTTTAAAATGAAAATCTCATATAAATTTTACCAAGTGTATAAAATTACACTTGAGAGTTCCTGCTCAGTAGGGAATTCCAGCAAAAATGACAAATATCTTCCTGTAAACTGAGCAGGCAGACAGCTCCCTCAATCATGACATTCCTGATTCCTACAGATCACTTCAGTTGGTTTCTTGGTAGCTGTTCAGGTGCAAGCCAACAAAACCAGCAGTGTAGCTCCTGTTAGCTTCAATGCAACCAAAACTTTCCAACAAATGTTTCCATTTTCTCAAATCATGTTTTTCCCCCAAGAAAACTACTTCAGTGGAAACTTTTGATGAACTATAGTGATAGAGAAAGATGACAAAAAGTATATGATCTGTAAATATTTGACTGTGCATTGTGGGCAGAGAGGATGGCAGCTGAAGGCAGGAATGATAAGATAAAAGGCAGGATTTCAACAAAATAGTTAAATCACATTTCCCAAGAGAAGAAAACATTCATTTGATCTAGTATTTTTCTTACAGGGTAATGATTGACATACACATTTTGACCAGCCAAAGTAAGACCAAGAGAATAACTCAAATACAGGAGAAAAAGTAAACTGTCACAATTTGAATCCTGCCGGAGGAATCAATACAATTTACAGCAGTGAAATTCCTCCTAACTTCTTCATCTTATTGATACCATTATCTTCTCTGTTAAATAATCAAATAATTAAAATAAAATTAAATGCCTGGTGGGAGAGGGTAAAAAAAAGGAAGCCAGCCTCTTCAGAGTGTTTTCCAGTAAACTGACAAGAGGTGATGGGCACAATTTGGATTACAAGAAGTTCAATTTACATGTAAGAATAAACATTTCTCTTTTTTTCAGTGAGGATGGTCAAGACTGGAACTGCTTGCTCTGAGATCCTGTGGAATTGAATGCCCTTGGAGATATTCAAAACCCAACTGGAGCATATCTGGAACAACCTGCTGTAGTTGACCCTGCTTTGAGCAGAGAGGTTGGTTAAGATGGTCTCCAGAGGTTCTTTCCAACCTCAACTAATCCTTGTGAGTCTGTGAAAAACAAATTTCTAATACAGGTCCACCTCTAAAAAGCCTCTTCCCTACTTAATTTTCTGTTACAACCAATAACAAAAATAAGCCATTTGATGATCGTGAACAATATCCAAATTATAAAAGTAAAAATAGTTTCCTTCTAAAAAAAAAAACCAAACAAAAAAAGCACACACACAAAAAAAACCACAAACAAAAACCCCCAAAACAAAAAAACCAAACCAAACCCACCAACCAAGCAAACAAAAAAAACCCCCAAAAACACAAAACCCCACCTTGAAAAGTTTCTTACTTAGTGCAACTAAACAGATGACACAGGAAAAATTATAGAGTTC